GCCAGACAAGTTATCGCGCTCAAGGACGTATATATATATATATATATACATATATATTATATTGTATATTGTTCACGTGTAGGGCTACTGTATATATATATATATAAAAATACTGTACTACATATATAAAAATTTGAACGAATGGTGTTTTTGGCCTCTGGGGACATCAAAATGAAAAAGTAAATCGGTCCCGGGCGTAGGTCTTACCGTGCTACCTACGGTAATAGCTACTTCCCTTTAGGGAAATTAGCTAAAAACATGAAAAAGTGTTTGTCATTTCAATTACCCAAAGAAACAACAAAGTGAATCAACTCTTGTCCCTAGTGAACGTGGAGTTTTTGAGTTCAAGCCTAAGCGAAACCATAGCTGTCTTAATGATTACAATACATTTGTGTCACAGGCGTGGCGAGCTAACAGCGACATAAAAGTAATTGCAAGTGAACATGTCATTATCAATTACATCAGCAAGTATGCATCCAAAGGTGAACCAATGTCAAAAGACTACAAAGACATATTTAACTCAATTGTTGAAAACTTAGCAATGACACACCAGATCGGACAGCATTCTCAAAGCTAATAAATAAAATGATTGGATCAAGAAATATAAGCGCCAGCGATGTTCATCACTTGCTCAATGGCGAAAAGCTATTCAGCTGTTCAAGACAGTTCGAACAAGTTTATTTAGTTAGGCAATGTTGATTATGTTGATATTAACAGACAAGGAAACACAAAGAATATGCTTTAAAAATACATTGAGCGGCCCCGATTCCCTGGAAAACGTAAGATGGAGATGAACAGTATTATAAGCAATAATTAATGCTTTACAAACCGTTTAGGGACATTTCAAACCCCCTACTCAAGGGCCATGGACATCCTACTCTTTGTACATGGAAAGAGTCATATGCAAATGCAAATATAACACATCGGCAACTGCAGGGAGAACCAGATGAATCAGATTCAGAAGATGAACCACTTCCTCCTGACAATTTGGACTACTACGACTGGCAAGTAATAGCAGGGTCATTAACATCAAACGCACCCTTAGATGTCGACCTCGGTCGTCGGGATATTGATAATCAGTGTGATTGGTATGAAACCATTAAACTTTACCCAGATCAGATGGCAAATATTGAAGACAAAGTGGACTTAATATAACTCAATAATGCTTATGGCACCTACTGGGGTTGCCGCAAACAACATTAATGGATGTACCTCACACTGCTCTAAAAATAAACAATACTCGTGGACATATGCAGGATTTAGAAGGAGAAGCTGAGCGGATACTCCAGGGAATGTTTGCCAAAGTTGTTACGGTGATTGTTGACGAAGTATCGATGCTTGGTTTACGAATGCTTTCATACATGGATCGCCGCTTGTGACTAGCTCGATCGAATCAAAGTAATGAGCCAATAGGAGGATTTATAGTATATTTTGTTGGAGATATGTCACAGCTTCCACCTGTAGTTGACACCTCACTCTATGATCTTCCTTAAAACAACAATGATGATATGACCCTTGGTAAAGTAGTATACAACTCTTTTGATGCTGTATTTTTCCTAAACATAATTATGAGACAGCAAGGTAACAACCAACAACAATTCAGGAATGTATTAAACAATATTGCTAATAGAAGTATCACACAAAACGACTATAAAATCTTGGCCTCGCGTTTTACAAACTATAATTTAGGAAAGCAATAAAAGAGTTAATGCAATGCAAAGATTTAAGAGTCCAATGCAACAAAAGAGTTAAAAAAACAATAAAGCAGAAGTGTTAAAAGCGGGGGGGACAAGGTATAGCGCAACAAGTTCACACGTTAATAAATAGGGTATGGGAAGAAGAAGATACTCCAAGTGAGTGGAAAGAAGCCATTGTGGTGCCAATCCACAAAAAGGGGAGCAAAAACGACTGCACCAATTACAGAGGCATCTCCCTTTTAAACACAACTTATAAAATCCTATCGAAGATAATACAAACAAGATTAGAAGAATACACATCTACTTTAATTGGCGAACACCAAGCTGGTTTCACAAAGGGAAAGTCAACAACAGATCAAATTTACATATTAAAAGAATCAATAGTCAAATATCATGAATACAAGCAGTCTTTCTATTGCATCTTCATAGATTTCACTAAAGCCTATGACAGCCTTGACAGGAAAAGATTATGGGAGATAATAGAGGAACAGGGAATACCCAATAAGCTAATCAGACTCGCAAGATTAAGTGTAAAGGATTCAAAATGTAAAGTTAAAGTAGAAGGACACTTATCAAAGGACTTTAGTGTCAATACCGGCGTAAGGCAAGGAGATGGGTTGTCACCAATGCTGTTTAACATCGCCTTAGAAGAAGCATTGCAAAAAGTTAAATCCTCAGACATAGGCATAAAAATTGGAAAAACATTTAATATACTAGCTTTTGCAGATGATGTAGCCATAATGGCACACAAGAAGGATGATCTAAGAGAATTAATTAGAATATTAGTAGAAGAAACAGGAAAATTTGGCTTACAAATTAATGACAGTAAAACAAAATTCATGAAGTGCGGAAGATGGGATGGTAGAGAAGAAAATGATGATGATGATATCTTACAGATAAGAGAGCCACTCTTTTCAGAAAGTAAATAGTTTTCAGTATCTAGGAGTCCTATTATCAGACAACAATAATGAAGAATTGGAAGTAATAAACAGGTTAAATTCGGCTAACAGGTCCCTCCATGCATGCAATAGATTGTTAAGCTCAAAATTATTATCCCACAACACCAAATTACGTATTTATAAAACAATAATAAGACCGGTTTTACTGTATGGCTCAGAAACATGGGCAATGAGCAAAAAAATAGAAAAGAAAATTATAACATTTGAAAACAAGGTTCTCAGGAAAATATATGGCCCGACGCTCGAAGATGGAATATGGAGAATGAGACACAACGTCGAGATTAGAGAGCACTATAAAGACCCTGACATCATAGCTGAAGTCAAGAGCAGAAGATTGAGATGGTTTGGTCATATTTCGAGAAGAGAGGAAGACTCCACTACGAGAAATGTACTTGATAGAAACCCCGAAGGCAGGAGACCACGAGGCCGTCCCAAACTTAGATGGAAGGATCAAGTACAAAAAGATGTAAGAAGACTGGGAAGGAGTGAAAATGACACCAAAGACAGAGACATCTGGAGGCAGTGTGTGGGCGAGGCCAAGTACCTCTTAGGGTACCAGTGGCCACTCCAGTAAGTAAGTAAGTAATTTAGGAAAGAAAACACAGTTTGAAAACTCTATACGTAATAATATTATCACAACCAATGAATCAATTATGGCTAATAGTAAGAACAAGCTCAGAAGCCTTAAGGTACCTGTTGCGTGTATCACTGCTATGAACAACAACAAGGCCAAGGCCTTAACAAACACCTCTTTATTTCAAAATGTTGTCGTGTGATACTTAGAAGAAGTCTTTGGACCTATGTATTGGTAGCACTGGTACTGTAGCTGACATTATATACAAATTTACCGACACAGAAAATTATCTAGAGGATTTCCCTATTTTTTGCATTTTGGTACAGTTTGAAAATTATATTGGACTTACATTGTACAACGGGTTGTTGCCTATCCTCCCAGTAACTGTTTTATTTAAACTGAATGGTGTCCAATGTTTTCAAAGGCAATTTCCACTAAATCTTGCCTATCCTATTTCGGTACATTTTAGCCAAGGATGTACTTATAGATCAGGCTGTGGTCAACCTAGGCAAGACCGAATTTTCCCTTGGCTTGACTTATCAGGGTGACTAGTTTATTTCCACTTTAAAATTCAAGACTAATTCCAGACTTTTCAAGACTAAGTTCAGATTTTTTAAGACTAGTTTTTTTTTTTCAACAAATAGTGATTGTCGATACCAAAATTTATTAATTCTCATTTCTTAATACTGATAACAAATTTTATTTACAGTTTAACCAAATAATTCGGTTCTACTACACACACCCTATAAAGTATTATTAAGATAATGGTTTTAAAGTAAAGAATGCAGCATCATTATCATTGTCTTTCGTGGTCAGGTAAACATGATCGTCGTTTGAGCAATGGCGGCAAAATCATGAAAATTCCCGACTTTGATATCAAAATAAAGACTAAATTCCGACTTTTCAAGACCATTTTGAAATTCTATACCAATTCCTGTCTTTCCCGATTTTCCTGACTACTAGACACCCTGACTTATGTAGCTTTGTCAAGAGTAAAAACCATTGAGGGCTTGCTGATAGAGCCATTTCCCATAGAGAGGATCAAAAACATAAAGAAGAATAGCAAATGGCAAGCAAAGCAAAAAGATATGGAAAGACTAAAGATATATAGATAAATAGCTACTTCCTTATAGGGGAATTTGCTAAAAATAAGAGTACAACAGTTCAGTCATTTTTAAAACCATTTATGATGTAGAAAATACAGCACCAACCGGCAACAATGTAAATTTACGAAATATTTGGTAACCAAGCACCCTACAAATCCTAGACTCTCAACCTGCAAAACCAACCCTCCTCGGCAGTAGGTCAGTGAACAAAGACAGTGCTAGTGTGATCCCCTACAGGTGACCACACCACCCCCCCCCCCCCTACAGGCGTCTGCCGTTTGCGAAGTCGCTGTGACGTAAACGTATCAAGTTGTATTGTGTGTTAATAATGATGTGTATGAACTGTATATAAGGTGTAAATAGAACTTCTCGTCTCCCTGAAGATGCAACACAATGTGGCAAAATATATTGGAGAAATAAAAATTCATTCTGCAAGAACAAAGGCTAAACGTAACTTAGTTCAATAATTAAACAACTAGATTGAAATGAATCTATTTTGAACATTTATAAAGTTATGCAAACATTTTGTTTACAAAAGTCGAATGACCATTTTAAAATGTAATAAACACAAGGTGTTATTTTTCATGAAAAAATATTTTTTTAACACAAGCTATTGTTTTTGTTTATTGATCAATTAAATTTTAATAAAAGTATTTTGACTGACCATTGAAATTTTCAAGTAACGGATTAGGCTCACTAGGAGTGATAGTGCTGACATCTTCAGTGGATTGAAAGAGGTCACTGCTGTTTGATGACACAGAATCAGCTGATTTCTTTTTCGTCCACGCATAGCCACGAGCAACCAATGCATCATTGATTGTCACAGGACCGTCATCGAATAAAACCACTGATAGGGATGACTTACTGAAACATAAAATAAAACATAAACTTGTATAGGGTTCAATAGAGTTTCATTGTGGATAGTAGCTTCCGGATTGCCAAATAATATTAAAAAGGTTTAAATACCTGCTATCAAGCAATCCATTTAATTGCAGTTGCAACTAGTTTCGACTCCTATGAGGAGTCATCTTCAGGCGGTACAAGGTCTTCTTCTTTCTTAACATAAAGTGTGTCATATTTAACACGTAAAAATAAATAAAACATTTACACACGACACAAAACACGTTTACGGACACGAAACATTTACTGATCAGTTACGACAACAGAAGACGCTAACCCGGCCGGAGTTTAAGTCCAGACTGACTGCGCAAGTCAGTGCAGATTCTCAGACACCCCGAAAAAATTCATGAAAACAAAAAATCCTGGTAGTTCAGGTCGTACTTTTCGTACCAAACTTTCAAATGCTTTTCGCGCCAACTCCCACAATGGTGTTTTAGCGCTAACACAGCTCGCTATTTTAGTTATCGGAAAAAGCATTCTTACTTAAGGAAACAAAATTTATGATTACTGTAATATTGCCTGACAAAAGGATTCAATTTTTATATATTGATGATTAAATAATCTGAAAATAAAAAACTAATCCTTAAACCTGCAATTTATCAATAAGTTCTTTAAAATAGTGATATACCTAAATTTATCGAATCTCCATACAGACACCTGAAAAATAGTTTTTAATACTGATAATTGCAATTATACTCAATTTTCTGTAAGGATTACTACACCAACCCCCTTTCTTTGTGTACTTTCATATAACTAGTATGTAATTTTGGAGTTTTGGTTTGTTTTTCATGTGGGCTATAGAAATAATTAATGCAGAAATTACAAAAATTTCACGTAGCCAATTTAAGTTTTATACCCTTCTAAACAAGGTCTTCGTTAAAGGTAAATGAAGATAATACAAAAAATATAAATATAAAACTTTCTAGAAGTGTGACATTGGTCAAGCCAAACTCTAGGTGTTATTGATATATCTTTATCATCTAACACTGTCGTAGAGACATAATCATAGTTTTCTGCGATAACTGAACAATCCTGAATATCTCACTCAGTAACAGAATCATCACCACTGTCTTCCATGGTCGTGAGGAAATCCTAATAATGTTCAGCGGTAACGTAAACATTATAATCGTCTCCCGCGATCACAGTAAAGTTATCATCATCTTCCTCGATCGTAGCTTAATTCAAATAATTTTCTTCAGTCATCGTCGTCAAGCAATATTTTTTTAACGTCATCATCGTTTCCCGCGGTCACAGAAATGTCATTGCCGTCACCTGCGGTCACGAAAAAGTCATTGTCGTCTCCTGCGCTCATGAAAACGTCATCGTCGTCTCCCGGGGTCACGGATACGTCATCGTCGTCATGTGCGATCGCGAAAAAAATCACTAAAAAATACCACGGCCGTTTGGACATCATCGTCGTCTCCAGGGGTCACGGAAACGTAATCTTCATGCGTGATCGAGGCATATTGAAAATTCCCACGCATAATTTGCGGATAAAAAAAATCCAGGTTTTCCCAGTTTTCCAGGTTGGTGGACACCCTGTGTAACGTCAACGGTCACCACTACACACACAACATATTTCCTAATTCATTCCAGTATGTTTATTTCGTGATGGCATTATCAATGTTAATTTTAGTTTGTTGGCTACTCATCACTAAAATAAATTAATCACAATTTACTAGGGGCGTGCGAATACTACTTTTTCTTTTCGAATTAAATACGAATCGAATAGTGAGAATTTCGAATCAAATTCGAATCGAATACTTTCTCTCGAATAGTATTCGAATAGTGAACATTTTTTAACCGAATACTAACCCTCAAATAATGAAAACTTGAAATCAATGTCAAGTCAACTCTCAATAATCTATAAGTATAAAAGAGGATGTTGGTATATTTGGCAGTGATAAACTCAGACACCGCTGGACCGATGGCCACGAAACTTAATTACGCTTATAACATAATAACGCTTCAATATACTAAATTATTTGTTTTTTTAAGCTCTACAAAAATGGTTTAGAAAGAAATTTTGTGTTTTTAGGGTCAAAAATGGGAAAAACCTATTTTCACCCCATAAACCCCCGTTCCCATAGTCCGATCATGCTGGTTCGCAAACTCATTCAAGTTTATCCCGCCTTACACCTTCAAACCAAATTTTATCAAAATCGGACAAAAATTACTCAAGTTATCGTGCGGATGGACACATATATATATATATAAAACTTCTTGATCAGCATTGTACGTGTTATTAAATTTACGGAAAGTAAATAAAGATACGTCTTATAACACTTAAAACATATATTTACGCTTATAGGCCTACTGTTACTCACAAGACGGTAAATATACAAAAGAAGGTAATTGGTGATCAATTTCGATTGGACACTCCAATCATCATTAGACCCAATAGGCGAATGTATGTATGATTCGCCTATTGGGTCTGATGATGATTGGAGTGTCCAATCGAAATGGATCACCACTTACCATCTTTTGTATATTTAGCGTCTTGTGAGTAACAGTATAAGCGTAAATATATGTTTTAAGTGTTATAAGACGTATCTTTATTTACTTTTCGTATATATATATATATATCTAGATATATACTAGATATATACGATTAGTTTTAAAAACCTCAATATCTATTTAAATTAACTTTTGCTGAAGGACTGGTTTTTATTTATTCTAAAAGACTGTTTTGTCTTGGTATTTAAATGTATAGTCATATGTTAAATTGTTTCAGAATGTAAATAAACTTTAGTTTTGTTGTTTTGTTTTGCATTGAACACAAGCTCATTTTTCTTCCGTTAAAACTTATCTATAGGTCGGCCGCTTAGAAAACGACCTCCTCCAGCATTGGTTTAGCATTAGCGCGCAGGTCGTTTTCTAAGCGGCCGAACTATAGTATTTTGTCATTTCTGTTAATTTTACTACGTAAATCGTCCGTGATATCACTATTAATCGTGAATCGCGTATCAGTGACGACTTCAATTGGCGAACGTGACAGGACTGACATAAGAAATGACAAAACTAGAAGATGATTCAACGGCAATGCAGGGGAAAAGCTCTGGAGGGAAGTAGGCTAATGGCTTCGGGAGGCGGAGGTGACTTGGAGAGGCGCCTTCGTCTGGACCTTAACCCTCCGAGTGTCCCTAGTTTTGGCCTTAATGTCTGCCTATTTTTTGGGCATTTGCAAGGTTTTATTAAAACGGATCTGAGAAGCTTAAAAACAATGTTAATTATACTGTTCTATATACCATTTTGTTTGGAAAATCATGGGCTTCAATATTATACATAAAACATAAGGAACATTTGTTTCAAAACATTTTTTTAGGTAAAAAAAAATACTTTGGAAAATTTTAAAAAAAAATAAGAAGTTCGCGCTCAATGAAATTGTATGAATTATAGGCCTATAAATATTTGAAGATAGCCACTTTGTTCTAAATTTTATGAGGATTCTAAAAATATAATAATATAAGGAAGTAGATTTGCAAATAAATAAGTTATGGTCAAAAAACAGATTTCGGTACATAGCGTTTAGCTAAGAAAGAATGCATAGCCTAACCATAGCTAGGAATCTGGCTGATAATTTACATCAATATCACTACCTACTTCTTCAGGATCATCAACCAGCCCTTCAAAATCACTTAAATCTTCTTATAATGCACCACGTATATCACTACTTTTGATTTTTAACACTAAAACAATGATAAACGTAATAAAACACATCAGTCATCGGTGCAAGGTTAACCAAGCTGTTTACAAATACGCACGTCATCTGTCTGCTACAATTATGATCGGCTCGAGAAAAAAAAGTGCTTAGAGACAGACCTGGGGAGAAAGCTTAGAATGTGCCAAATAAAACGATACCTAACTCGATCCAGTTCAATCCGATTTTGTCAGTCATAGAGCCTTCGCCGTAAACAGTGTTTGTGAGTCGAAGCTTCGACACAAAACACTACACAAAGTGTGTTATGTGTCGAAGCTTCGACAAATAACACTCGGAGGGTTAAGGGAGAAGGTGAAGACCGAGACACCTGCGAGTTGCCACCACTGGTAGGAGGACCTACGCAGTTGGTACAGCAACCACGAGCAGCGGACCCGGTGAGTTTCTTTCTAGAGAAGATTTTAACACAAGTACAGACTCAGTCAGAAAAAATTGATACTTATTTGGCAGATATTGACAATAAAATTACGTCCTCAATAAGAAAATTTACTAAAAAAAAAACTCAAAATTAAATACAAGAGTTGGACCATTAGAGTCAGATGCTGTCATTGAAACTATCAAAGATCCAAGGCTGGAAGATGGAGTGACTGATGAATCAAGTGGTTTGGAGATCAGAGTCGATGTCATTGGAACGATGCTTAGCAGCAGGCAGGATGACGTGGAGAAGGACAGGATGGTCTTGGACCACTTTGCGGATCACTGAATGGATTCCACGGAGCAAACCGTGTTGGACATTGGGCCAATCTCTTGCTCTATGCCCTTCAACGAGGAGGTGAGTGCGATGTACAGGTTTAGGACTGAACAACTGTTCATAGATGAGAAGAATACTAGCGAGGAGACGACATGTGATGTGGCCGAGAGGGATGCTGACGAGGAGATGGCATGTGGTGTGGACGAAGGGGATACTGACGAAGAGACGATTTGTGATGTGGACGAGATCCCGCGTCGTTTGGAGACTTCCGGGAACACGATAACCACCGCGTGCGAAGAACTGTTTCCTGCAATCAATGTTGCGTGCTGGGATTGCTTCAAGAAGGTTAAGGACAGGCAAGGTGGGAAGGAACAGGAAGAGAAGATCAGGCGCTGGAGCAAGATGATTCCTGACCACAACCGACAAAATATAAGAGATGAAGAGAAGACTAAAGAAACTGAAGACATTTTCAGACAGCTCAGAAGTTGGAAGATAGTGCAGCAGATCAACCAATCTGAGAGAAATGAGAAAGGTAGTGGGAGAGGAAGGAAAAAACTTTCGCAGAGAAATACACAAGTAATACATAAAAAAAAGAAGAAGAAGAAGACCAAGTGTAAAAACGGTCTAGGTTAAAGATTTTTCAAATCGATATTGAAGGTTTTAGGGGGGATAATTGTCGTGTTATGCCTAACTAGGGATGGACGGGATTGAATTTTTAGTTTGGGACGGGACGGGACGGGATTTTTTTCTGAGCATAGAAAGAAAGTCTTGAGTATTGCAGTTACCAAAAAAGACATACGAAATCAATTTTTACCGTTTGTGGCACTGATCTATAAAAAAACAAAAAAATGGGTAACAATTTACAGGTACCTATAGAAACTTGTGACTCGCGGTCGAAATGACTGGCGGTCACGGTGCGATTGTCAAAATGACCGCGGTCACGGGGTGATCGTCGGGATGACTCGCGGTCACGGCATGATCGTCGGTATGACTCGCGATCACGGCACGATCGTCGGCATGACTCCGCGGTCACGGCGTGATTGTCGGTATGACTCCGCGGTCCCGTCCCGATAATCGGGAATATTTTTTCCCCGAAAAATTCCCGAAATTTCGGGACCCGTCCATCCCTATGCCTAACTGACTATTAGTTTTAAAAACCTCAATATCTATTTAAATTAACTTTTGCTGAAGGACTGGTTTTTATTTATTCTAAAAGACTGTTTTGTCTTGGTATTTAAATGTATAGTCATATGTTAAATTGTTTTAAAATGTAAATAAAGTTTTGTTTTGTTGTTTTGTTTTGCATTGAACACAAGCTCATTTCTCTTCTGTTAAAATTTATCTAGTATTTTGTCATTTCTGTTAATTTTACTACCTAAATCGTCCGTGATATCACTATTAATCGTGAATTGCGTATCAGTGACGACTTCGACATTTTAGTGTAAATCCAATCAGGCAAATGGAAATTCGCTAAGTCTGCAGGTTTGCTGCGGCGGGGGTATTTACTTGTTATTTTGGTCAACCAACATAGTTAAGTTACTTGGCTACCCATAAGGCCAATGTTATATATTTTTTCTCAATGAGTTGTTTAGAGAAATACAAATTTTCCTGAGGTAGTGGCTGTCACCGATCTCGTTTTTAGGGCTACAAGTTCCTAATTCCAAAGTTTAGTCTAAATCCTTCCGCTGGATTTCAAGATATTTACTACAGAGAGACAGACAAACAGACATAGCTCTTATTAGAGTATAGGATATACTTACTTTTTCCTATTATTATCGTGGGATTCAACCACTTTGATGGAATACAAGTGAGCATTTGTAGTGACTTGGACAATTGATTTGAAATAGTCAATTGCATCTTTTGACCATGGTTGCCCCTTGATTAGCGGGTGAACCTGTGAAAAAACATATTAAAAAATAATAACCAGTTATTCAATCAAAATGGTGCAGGTAATATATTCTAAAAAGAATTTAACATTTAAACAAATAATTAAATGTAAATTTGCCTAATGTTATACTTAAAAAAGTAAAATACCACTCACTCACTAATCCCTAATAGCCTATCAAAAACTACAAGCCATAAAAACTCAGGAATTGGCATGGAGGTTCCAATCAAGCTCTAGGTATAACAAATCTAATTGCACCCATTGCTTCCCCCCCTTTCAACCTATCCTTGGAAGCCAGCGGCCGACCTACAAATTTACAGCTGTTAACAAGGAAATTGGTTTTGAAAGTAAAAATTCTTTCGCTGTCTTAGAAGAAATCAGTGAGGAAAGTAATGGACGAAGTCAACCTAGCCTTCTTAATGGGCCAAATAAGAGAAATTGTCAGTCACAAAAGAAACATGAAAATAGAAAGGATGCAAATAAACAGAAAGTCACTATTTTGGCTGATATCCATGGCAGAAATTTAGGACACCTAATAGAACAAAGATCGTGCTTTAATGTCTTCAGTGTTGTCAAATCTAGTGCTAAGCTAAGCAATGTCATTGAAAGGGCTGGAGAGCTAAGCAAGGACCTAGAAGCGGAGGATTCTCTTCTGATGATTGGAGGCACTAACGACATGGAGACCCACAACTCTGAATCTCTCCTGAATGAAATTAACCATCTCATTTCAATCACTAACCACACTAACCTGGTTATTGCAACTTTACCATGGAGATATGACAAGATGGGACTGGACCTAAAAATTGGAGAAATTAACAGGAAATTAGAAGATATTGTTGCCCAGCACCCTAAGGTTTCACTACTGCCGCTGCACTCTCTTCCCCGCCACCTTTTCACACCACATGGATTGCACTTCAATGCCAGGGGTAAGGTAAGGGTACCATGTGGGGAGCGCAAAAAGCCCATCAGTGGCTGACGTGCAACAGGACAAGGTCCGCCCCTACAGAATCAATCAATCAATCAAGGGTAGCTGACATGTTCTTGAAGCTGGTGAGAGCAAAGTCCAATAGAGCTTCACGGGTAAAATCTTCTATGATGTTTGACAATGGGAAAATTAATATTGTTGAAGGACACATTAAAACAATGATTGATGAAATGGGGAGTGATAGTTCAGTGGGTTTTGCACACACTATCTCAGCAGATTTTGGAGATCCGAAGCACATGTCTGCAGGTGTTGCCGTGATCTTTAGAAATAAATTTGGGAGACCACAATCTACTGATTATATCTCAAAAAATCTAACAAAGCAGCAATACTTAAATAAGGGAGCAACAGTCTTTAGTCTAGTGACAAAGGAAGTGTTTTGGGGAAAGCCATCGAAGACAGACTACGACAGCGCTTTTAAACAGCTAACAGAAAACTTTAAATCTAGTGGGCTTAAGACTTTGGTGTGCTAACCAATGGGTTGTGTCCGTGACCTAATTGAAGTGGATCATTTTATACAGAAATTAGTGGAATTCCAGCAGGCAACTGAGGCTACAATAATCATTGTCTCTTATTTCCAAAAAACGATCCGAATTCTGAGGAATGGATTTTCTCACAAAGATTTTGTGAGAGCCCTGGAACACTCTGTGGTTAAATGGACTGCTGCCCCCCACACTCAACAGTCATCACCAGCGCAGAATGCAAAGCTTCAGCAGCCAACTCCGTCAATGAGAGCCACAGCAGTCGACATTAATATCCAGCAACCACCTCAGCAGCAGCCAACTACCTCTTTGAGCTCCCCACCAGTCGGCACTACCGACTACCAGCAACTACCCTCATCCACCATCAGCACCAGCACCTCTACACTATTAGCAGAAAGTTCTCCCAAGTGCAGTGTAACCTGTGATGATAAGAAGGAAAGTGAAAGTGTAATGGAAAAAGGTAAAGAAATGTCAAAATCTTTTTTAGATTAATTCAAGTCAACGTATGTTGTTTAAGAAATAAAATTTTACAGTTAGAATATTTATGTAAAGAAAAAGATTTGAATGTAATTTGCTTGTGTGAACACTGGCTGAAAGGTGATCAGATTAATTTATTTGTTCCTAAAGATTTTGTTCCAGCCAGTGTTAGGCCAGGCGCACACAGGCGATTTTGAGTCGCGCAACAGTTGCCCAACTAAAATGTTCAACATTGTTTTAAATTGGAGTGCGCACACGAAGGAAACAGTCTGGGGACAGTCGCGCAACTGTTGCAACCGATGTTCCCGGACCCAATTTGCCAGCGACTGCTCTGCGACTGAATTGTTGCGGGACTGTCGCTCCAGGTTTGGTATCCATTGAAACAAGTTTAGATGCGCACACATGCAACTAAATAGTCGCTGTGTCGCTCAGTCTCACCCCAGGAGTTCAACTACTCGTGGTCAGAACTGTCACTAGTGTTTGATCTCTTGTTGTGTGAAGATTTTAGAAAATTACAAGTATGAGTGTGCGTGATGAGGATGTTTGAGAAGAGGCCGACTATATTTAAAGTCATTGAAACTGTCCTTTCACAAGTCGCTCACTATATATATGGGATGAACCCAGTATCTTCTCTTTTTCTTTCGCGCGCGAAACTTCAGCAACAAAGCACATACTACGGCTGTATCATTGAAATCCATTCGGAACGCTGTTACGAATGTATTTCCAACAAGTCTCAAGACTAGATCCGCGACTAAAAAGTTGCCTCTGTGCGCACTCCAGCTCAACTGTCACTAGACTTCAGAGTCTCCGAGAGAGTTGCGCAACAGTCCCCCGATTAGTCGGGCAACTGTTGCGCAACTCAAAATCGCCTGTGTGCGCCTGGCCTTATATGTAGGGAATCTAAACTTAATGGCGGAGTGGGTGTTTATATTAAAAATTGTCTGAATTTATCAGTTATTGATGTTACTGAATTTTATATTGAGTCTGATTTTGAAATTAGCTGCATAAAACTTACGGATGAAAACGTTTTGATTGTTAGTATTTATAGAGCTCCAAGTGGAGATGTGAATAATTTTTTTGACTGTTTTGAGTGTTGTATTAAAATACTATTACTTAACAAGAACCCCTTAATAATTATTGCGGGTGATTTTAACATTGAAATGGGGAAAAATAATAATGACTTAAATAGCAGTTTCACTAGATTTAGTAATATTTTGAGATCACTTGACCTTTTTTTAACAAATAGACAACCCACACGTATTAATTCCTGCATAGATAACATTATTGTAAATTTCAATAAGAATTTATATCAGACTACACTTGGGGATAACTATTTTGCTGACCATATTCCTCTATTTTTTGAAATGTGTACAACTAAGTATCCACAAAGAAATGAAAACAAGGTGTGTTCCAGTGATTTGTATTTTAGAAAACAAAATGAAGAAAATATTGATTTATTTATAACTTACCTAAAACAAGAAAACTGGGATATGATTGGCGATTTTAAACAAAATAAAATAAATGTTGAAAACCTATTTGACGAATTTTTTAAAAGATATATAGATTTGTGGCATTCTTGTTAACCATTAATAAAAGAAAAAAACAAACAAAATATAAAAACCAATAAATTAATCAACTGGTACACACCGAAATTAGAAAAGACAAGAAATTAAATGTTACTGTTATTTTCTGTTTATAAGAATCTTCTTTCAATAAGATCAGAACAATCTCAGGCAGCTTACAATGCATATATTCAAATTAAAAGAAGATACAGAAAAGAATTGGCAGGAGCAAAAAAATTGGCAGTTGAAAAATATATTAACAATGCCCCAAACAAGTACAGAGCCGCTTGGAAGGTAATTAGAGACGAAAATTCCCCCTCTTTTACCCTGGATGTCAGCCTGGATTCAGATGAATTTAATACATATTTTCAAAACTCAATAAAAGAGTTAAGTGACAGAATTCCTACTACACCTTTTAGTATGGAACACTTTTTGGGAGATAAATCTATCTATCAAGATTCATTCATGTGGCAAAAAGTCTCACCGGTGGACATTATAAAAGTTGTGTCTAAATTTTCAAACTCTAAGGCTATGGATTTTTATTGGTTATCAAATCATATAATCAAACAAACAATTGAATTTATAAGTAAACCACTTGCTTTTATCTTAAATAACTGCATGCAGGAAGGTTATTTTGCTCAATCACTTAAGGTTTCAAAAGTCACACCAATATTTAAGAAGGGTGACAAAAATATGGTTCAAAATTACTGCCCAGTTTCAATTGTTCCAATTTTATCAAAAATATATGAATCAATTATGTATAATCAACTCAATTACTTTTTTGAATCACATAATATAATTACAAACTATCAACATGGCTTTCGTAAAAATAAATCAACATCAGCAATAATAAATTTAGTAGATTATTCTTTAGATGCTTTTGAGGCGAAAAAATCTGTTTCTCTAGTGCTGTGTGACCTCAGTAAAGCATTTGACAATGTCCCATTTGATATTCTCCTAAAAAAACTTCAGTTTTACGGTGTGGCGCAAAGCTCCTTGAAACTGATTGAGTCATACCTCTCAAAGAGATTACAATATGTTTCCGTTAGAAATAATTGTTCCAAGATGATTGAAGTGGTATCTGGAGTCCCACAAGGATCAATTCTTGGTCCTTTTTTCTTTACAGTTTATATTAATGATTTGCCCAAAAACTTAAATACCTATTCCATTCTTCAAGAAGAACTGTTAATATTGGAATTATACTAATTTTAAATAATAACTTCGCCAATATTTCTGAATTTTTAATTTTTATGAGGCCTTTCGCCAGCTATGAATTGTTTTGTGATGTGTCTGATGATGCCAGCATAGCTGGCGAAAGGCCTCATAAAAATTAAAAATTCAGAAATATTGGCGAAGTTATTATTTAAAATTAGTACCTATTCCATTATTTATGCTGATGATACAACATTACTTTCCAATCATGAAAACTTGATTTATTTACAAGAAATGTCCCGACAAGCAGAGACAATGGCTTATGATTGGTTCTCGACAAATAAACTATCTTGT